AAAAACGCCCACCGGGCCGCAGATAACGATCCCCCTGGAGAGGGAGGATCCCGAAACTCACGGAACGGAGATAACAATTTCAGCGTCCCAGGCGGTGGAAGGGGGGGGAAGGCCTTGGAGAGCGATGCAGAGCCAGGAGAGAGCACCGAAAGCGGAGCCAGGGCAAAAGAGAGCACTCTTTCAGGTGTTCTTACCTGTATACTGGGCATGACGTGCATGTTATGGAATAAATCATTGGCTATTCTGAGTTTCAGTCTTAACATAAGGGCAAATCCTATGCTAGCAACCGGCTGTGCCTCTTGCTCATCTGCTGATCTTGGCAGCAGAACAAAACATTATTCTCTTATCAGCTCCTCTGAGCGTAAATCCAAAACACAGCCTCTTGCTAGCTATTTATGAAGAAGAAAGGAAAAAAAAGTAAGAGAGTTAACTTTAAGCAGTCTGTGCTTAAACCACGACATAGTTATTCAGCTAGTTAGACCAGATATATTAACTTACTGTATAACAATAAATATTTTAATAACTTATTTTTCCTCCAAACCTTCTGGTGTTCATCCATTTGACCTTGGCCAGTGGATGTTTCACTGTTAATTGCAGCAATAAACCATCTACAAGTAGTGGTAGAACAATGTGGGAAACTCCTTTGTATGGGACTGAGATTCCAATTGGAGTGGAGTCTTGAGCCAGCAGAATTTCCCTTTAAAGCCCATGCAAAAGACAGCTGGCTGCCTGGTACAGATCAGTGGAAAGTCCTTTGTAGCTCTGCTACCACCAGAGTTAGCTGTTTAATGATGATAAGCATGCTGGGGGCCAGTTCCAACTTTGCTTTGTTTTGAATTTTTCTTTATTGCAGTTTGACCAAGCCAGAAGTTTGTTGAATAACTTTTGGATTTGTTTAGGAGGAATGAAATTTCTCTCAATATTGCTTTTTTTTTTTTTTTAAGAAGTTAGCACTTCAACCAGCCTTGTCTGTCAACCAGTTCTGTGCGTTGCTTCATCTTCTGATGGTCAATCCAAGTAGGCTTGTTTGGCAGGTTAGGGAGAAAGAGATGACCAATAGCGTATATTGTCATATACGTATGCATGTATCATCTCTGTAGCATTCCAACAGTTGGAGCAAGCTGATGTCTTTGGCAGACCCAAATAGTACCTGGTGGCTCTTGGCTCTGAGTTTTTTCCGAAGCTCCAGGAATTCTTTCTCCTGCAGGGCAATCCATGGCTTTAGCACAGATCTGCACCAGTGGCAGCACTTTGGGAGGTGGGTGGAAAGCTAGACAGGGAAATTGGCGTTTCTGAATTACCTTGTTTCAGGAAAGGGCCTTTTTATTTCCTCTGAGGTGAAAGCTGCAGCAAATGCTGCAACCAGTCTTTCTGATGTCTGTGGAGACTTTAAAATCCCTGAGACCCACCATCTAAAACTTAACCATTAACGTATTTCAAATACTTTAGTCTACCTTTGAGCTCCTCTGTGGAATAATGCATCTCCCAACAGCAAGCTACGAATGTCCTCAAATGTGTAATGAATTTTTCTTGGAGAAATGTGAAATAAATGTGATATTGAGGAGATTTTTAAAACAAGAAAATTATTTGTGAGGAATTTATCAAAACTATTTGCACTTAGGCCTGAAAGAAGGGCATGGGAGTGCTCAGCAGTGAGATTAGCTTAGACAGTTTTTCACTCCTAGTATTTTTAGTTTTATTTTCAGTGACAGCCTTCAAACTTTTACTGGATGAGGTATGTAACCTTGAAGTTAAATGGCAGGTTTCCTAGCCATAGGATCGGCCTGATGAGATAACTTGACCCAAATAAAACCTTCCTTCATATTGCTGTCCTTGCTGTTTCTTCTGTGTGGTGTGTGTGATCTGAAGGTTTCTACGAGCACAACTAACATTTTGCCTACAAGTACTCTGTTTTTACAGTATCTTGAGGAAACTTGCCAGCATGAAAGCTGCAGGCCATATTGCTAGTGTGAGTGAACCCTTGAAGGGATTGGTATTTGTATCATGTAAATAGAATAAATTAATCTCTGCAGTGCTGTGGAGGTACAGGATAAGAGAGAGTTTCTGTTCAGCTGAAATATCATGTTTTAAATTGCATTGATGTTCTTACACTCTCCTGTACTCAGCTTGTCAGAGGGTTATTTATGTATGACACAACTTTCTTTCTAAATACTTGTAAAGGTAGCTTTGAAGAGCAAGGTTTGGATTAACCTTCTTTTACATAGGAGCATTTCTAGTTTTGAAACCATTCCAGTAATGTCTGGACACGCTTCAGTGCCAATTAACCATAAGGTAATAGTTTTGCCAGTGGAGAGAAAATCGAAAGTGCTGTAAAATACATGACTGAAGATTATTCATGCTGCAGTATTGCCTCATGCTAAAGAAGCTAAATCTCATCCTGCTATAAATGTTATGAATAGTACCTCACTGGTGTTTATGTCAAGCATGTTTGTGTAGTCACTCCAACCCTTAGGAAAAAAAAAAACAAAAAACAAAAAACAACAAACAGGAATTCCTCTAAGAAGTTACACTACATGACGTTTTGATTTTATTTCCTTATACTTCCATTTACTCACTTCTTTCCTAAGCCAGTAATGGGTCCAAAAGATTGAAAGATACTCTGTATATTTCCTTTCATTGGGGAAGGGAGAAGATACAGAGGAGAGGATGATTTCGTATTAAATCTTGTGCTGGTTCCTCTCTTATTTACCATGGCATCTTGATCCTAGCTTCTAGTTTGCCTGAAAAGAAAAACTAGAAGCACAGCAATTACTTCATGTGTACTTGGGAAAGTGCAGAATCATCTGCATCAAGGAAACTTTTTGGAAGCAGACATAAATTGTGGATATATGTCTGTATCCAGCATATCTATCTGACACAAATGCACTCCCTAAAACTCAAGAGTGAAGTGCTGGAATCTACTGCACAAAATTACAGCTCACTGTGCATGATGCTTTTAATTACTGAAGACTGTATTTGATGTGCAACACTCTAAAGTAATCTGTTGAAGGGTGAATAAAATTTCCTGTTATCATTATCCTGGTGTCTAATCAAGTGAACTTCCCTGCAGTAGGCGTGCGAGTTGTCCTTTGTCCTCTGCTCTCCTGCTAGTTTTCATGAAACTTTAAAAAAAATAATTATCCTTGAAAATTTGTTTTTTTCCTGTCATGCTTAGGTGAAATTAGTCAGTATTTTCAGAAGGCTAATGGGAGGCTGGGAAAAGCAGGCAGATGAGCACAATGCTTGATAACAGAAGTTGTAGAAAACCAGACCAAAATTTTGCTTCAACTTCTGTTAATGTGACCATGATGTGGTGGTTTGGCAGTGCTATAAGAAGTCACATGTTGAACTGTGAAGTGTGTAAACCTGGTTCCTTGGAGTTAATCTCTTGTACCTTTTGCAGGTGGAGATTTACATTTTACCTTTATGTATTTACCTATGGAGTACGGTTCCTGAGAAAGGTAGGCACTTATTCTGCTTTCATAACGCATCACAGATTTGTTTGAAGTCTCATGTAGCTATAATATAAAGTACAGGCATAAAACTTACGTTCACAAAGAGTAAAAATTAAAATTTAATTTGCATTCATAAAATTAGCTGCTGCTGGCATTGGTAAGGAATATAAGTTCTTATCAATATTTAATGAGGTAAAAAAAAATTAGTATAGCAACATGCCTAGTTCACTTCATTGCTTTTCATTATAGGCATTAAGCTGGCAGTAAGGCTTGCCAAAGTATTCATCTCGATTTCTGCATCATCCTTGTTTAAATGCCTCTGGCAGAGGTTGCTTTTTATTAACAAACAAAATCCATTAGTGTTTTATAAAATGCTATTTTTTTTCCCATTCTTTGTCTGGTGCACTGTGGAAAAAATTTTCTGTGGAGTTTCCCATCAGTGCTGTGTTTCTGGTGATTTAAGCAGCTAAGGGTGTTGATAGCTTCTAAACGCCCTGGCGTAAGTCTATTAACCCTGCCATAGGCAGTAACATGCATTTATGGTGCAAATTGTTTTTATGATGTGACTAGTACTCAGTGCTTTTGTGCAAGTTGGGCCATAATTGTGTAATTCTGAGAGGTGAAATTAAGGGAATGTGTGAGCTCAGTGCATTCATGTAATCTTATGTTCTTTGTTTTGGTCAAAAATTTGATAGAAGAAAAGGCATCATAAATGTTTCTGGTGCTTTGTAAGTAAAAGTAGCTGTTAAAAAAAAACCACCCTCATAATTTTTGTGGTTGTTATTCTTGAGGCTGTCCCAAGTGACAGTCAACTTGGTGCCAGCAGGACTGATGCTGTGCCTGGGTGGGTAGGGGACATCAGAGCTGTTCTCAGCTATTAAGCAGTAGTCATCCCCAGAGGAAGGGCGTGCACCAGTCCTCCAAATGGACCAGAAGGCATGTCATGGGCAGCCTCCCCCTCTGCCTCTTGGAACACTTAAGCTTTGTGTGTAGTTCATCCATTAACATGCTGTATGGTCATGATCTGAGACTGTGTTTTCTGCCTTTGATTCCATCCGTGTCTGTGGTATGAAATAAGAGAATAGTTTTAATAAGCAATTGTCACAGCCTAAAAGGGTACTTCACCGGTTGGTGTGGAGAGATGAGAGATCACGACCATGAGTTCATAGGATTCTGTAAAAGACAAGGACACGGAGGCTTCATCCTCTGAATTCTCTGCTTTATTACAGATTACCACAAATACAAAAATCACCGTTAGCAAGTATCACAAAATCACTACTAGAAAGCATACCTGTGATTAATAAAGCGAATCTCTCTCAGCACAGAGAAAGTGTCTGTTCTGTTTACCAGCATTTCTAAAGACTAAGAATACAGTAAATGCATGCTTCATTGTGAGCTGTTTCCGAAGGCTGAGCTGATGTGCAAAGTGCAGGGTGTCTTCCTCCCACATCAGCATGTCACTGCAGTTTGAGGAGGGCTGGCTGACATAGCATGGTTGTTTGAACAAGGTATACCATTGACTGCTTAACAGGCGTAACAAGGATCGGTTGTATAATTTTGCTGTAGTTTGACTTTTAACATGTTTAGCTTTTAGAAACACAACTTGTTCATTATATAATTGTGTATGTATTTTGAGTACTCATTTTTACATGGTATTGTAAATGAGCCTTACAATATTTTATGCTATAGTCATTATTCCAGTGTTCTGCTTTGTATACCCAGGTCTTTCACATGGGAATGTATGTAAATTAACAAAATTATTATTGTTATTGTATTTATATTTACGCCCTCTCCCTAGTAACATTGCATAACTAAAAGAAAGTACAGGCTTGTAGCGGTTCATCAGACACCAAAGATTTTACTGGGTCTACTTAGGGGGGAAATCTGGGTTTGCAAGAAGTAAAATCCAGACTTCAAAATCTGGAGGGAGACAATTCTTTCAGAGCTTCACTATAGTAACAAAGTAGCTAATCCTTTTTCATTTGTCTTGGTTTTCTTAATGGAATAATTGCAAAGAAACGTTTCATTTTTTTCCTTAAGAAGCTAGTGAAAATAGTTAAGCATAATAAATTCTCTTACAAATTTGATAGAATGATCTTTTCTTCAAAAAGCTGTTTTGCCTGGAGAGAAAGTTCATTTCATAGTCAGTGGTGTCTTGTTGTGCTAACACTACAGTAGAGATACGCATCCTTCCAAATAACAAGATCAAATAACAAGATTAAAACCATCCCTAAGACACCTGGTCTGGAAGACTAATAAGCATGGTGAGCGAGCCCAGGTGGAACAGCAGTCCCGAGGGGTGCCGTTTCATCCCAGCAACGCATGCTCCCTTATGGGGAGAGGGTGAGAAAGAGTAAATACCACAGATGTTCCTGTTTTGAAGAATGGAATATGCCACCAGTATTGCACTACATTGGAAATATTAATTTTTACTTTTAAAACCTAAGCTAATGCTTAGTTAATACATAACTCTGGTTAGTTGGATAAGACATTTTGATACTGTATGTCTTTCAAACATCCAAATGTAATAAGGATGTAAGGGAAGCTGCATTTTGGTGCTTTTCAAATGAACATAATCATTCAAGTTTGATTGGTTTGTCCCTTTCTGAATACTTAAGATCTGATCTGAGAAAACTGTTTTTGCCATCTTGAGTGGGAGGTGTTCCTTCACATTTCTTGGTCTTATGACTTCTGCTCTTATGAGGTACTGCCTTTAGAAGAGTGAACCAACTCAGTCGTACAAAAGGCTCTCCCTAAAACACTATGCCCAATGCATTGCCTCTTTTATAGTCTCCTTGTTGGCTCTTGAATGGCCAGGCAACAAAATACTCTGATTTCTATATTATTGTCTTTCCTTCCCGACTTGACTTAGTCTCCCTGCAACCTGCTGCTCCTTTGCTTTGCTGCATATGTTGCTGACCTGATGGTTTTTTGTTCACAGGTTTTTTGTTCACATTTGTCTCTCTTAAATGTGTTTCCTTCCTTAGTTTGCAGGTGAAATTACTTTACCTACAGGACTGGTGTAGAGCCTGTCAATTACTTAAGCATCACTTTGAGCTAATTTTGAGGTCCTTTGCTTAGTGCTGACTGTTTGCCTAGAGGTGAATTTCACCTTTTGTATTCTTTTTGAAAACACCTTTCTCGTAATGCCCACAGGGCATGAATCATTGCTACTTTGTCTTCTACTGTCACCTTCCCTATTTGCTACATAAAGCTATATTACTGCATCAGTGCAGTATCACCAGAAGAGTGGACGTCTGTGTTTCCACGTACCCACCAAACCACCTGAGGAAGATCTAACCAGGATACTCTGGCCAACCACCATTCATGCAAGGAATGTCATTAGGTTTTTGGTGGCTTTGTGGAGCTGACAAGCTTAGTTGGCTTTTTGGGAAGGTGTGCCCAAGCTTAATAAGCTTAATAATCAACTCTGTTTTCATCAGTTTCTTTTTAGAATGGTAACTAACTACATTAAGAGTTTTACATTTGCCTAGCTAGAGCATCTCATAAGGAGAAAGAGGTCTGGGGTTTCAGCTTTGATTTTCACTTCCCTATAGAAGCACATGAAAGCTAATAAAGTTTTTCATTCAGAGCAATCATAGCATGCTCTAAAATGCCATGGCAAACTTGTCTTTGTTACTGTCCATGACTGCAGTTAATGGCTCATCTAGATAAAAAAAATTCTTGCACTGAATAAAGCAACCCTAAGTCTTTGTAGTAACAACTGCACATGATATGATACATCAATTCTTTTGCCATGCTATAATTGCTGACTCTGTTGCTGGACATTTAAAGACTTTTTTCTCACTGAAAGCTGTGTCTCTTATCAAACTCTTCTCTCAGGTTTTGTCTTTTTCTAGTGACAGATGTATGCTGCTAAGTCATAAATAAAGTTAAAAAATCTTGCTTTTCTTGATTTTTAAAAAAATCTCAATTCACAGGGAAAAAATGCGTAATGCCATATAGCTTTGTTTTCGAAGTTTGCTCTGTTCCAACAGAACTTATCAACTTATATGTTTTAAATGTATTTTTGTCTTAGTGGTGTCTACAGGACACTCTAGATTGGGCCATTTTGCTGAATAAAGTTCAGTATGAACTTTGGAAAATCCTTTAGGTTGGGAAGGCAGAGAATCGGGCTGTAGGGTGTCCTACATGTGACTGTTGTAGGCCATGGTATCACGATCAGGTGCAGATGTATGTGATGGTTTTTAGCAGTGTAAAATGCACAAAAACTTGTGCTTCCACCCTCTCTTCCTCCCTCTATCCATATAGACATCTGCTTTCCACAGCCTCTGGATCATACAACAGCTGCTTCACAGCACTCTCCCTGACCTCGTGCCAACTCCTCTGATGAACTCTCAGGGCAGGAGACCTTTCTGGAGTTTGCACTGGTCTTGTCCTCAATGCCTCCTAATTTAAATGGGTGTATCTTGTCAAGTTTGCCTTTGTTGTGATAACACGTCACTCATGAAGTGACATTGAATGAATGAACTTCTTTCTTATAAGGTGTATTGTTGATGACATACACAATATCCAGCTGTTTTGATTGTTTCCCTTTTCTTTGGCTTAAAGAAACAGTAAAAGTGCAACTTCTACTGTTGGTGTCTGGCTTCTTCAGTCAGGAGGTGATTTTAACAGCGGTGTGCAGCTGTGTGACTCGTACATCTTACAAACGTTTGCGATATCAAAGAAATACATGCCCCTTTCAAGAGTTACAGTGAAGTGAGAGAATTAAGTCTTTGGTAAGAGAGTAGAGAAGGCAAGGTAGTTGCTTTCTTACTCACAAATGGACTACACATAGAGGAATAGCTCACAGCCTTCCAGATACTCAGCCAAACCATTACATCACCTACAACTTGTATTTAATATGTATGCATAAGAGACCAACAGACTTCAGTCACATTTTTACTGTAGAGTTATCAGTATTTAATTGACGTATTAGACATTCCCCCCTTCACCAGCTCCTGTGTGTGCCTTCAGCCTTTTTTTGTTTTACTCTCCTTTGC